ATTTAAAGTTTTTTTTTTTTTTTTTTTTTGAGTGAGTGACTATTAATAGTGGATAAAAATATGATTAGACTGAGTTTATTTCTCTTTAAGGGATATTGTCAAATCATGGCTGGAATAGTCTAGTATAGAAATTTCTGATCAAGTACTTTTTACCCATTAGAAATGCACGGTTCAAAAATGAAATGGTTGTTCTTCAACCGTTTGAAGATGAGACACTAAGTGAGGCTTGGAAGAAATTTAAAGAGATATTTAGAAAATTTCATCATCATGGGCTACCCCATTGTATCCAAATTAAGACTTTCTATAATGGACTGAATATTACTTCTAAGTGGTGGATGTTTTGCAAATGGAGTTATCTTGTCAAAGACATACAATGAAACTTATGAGATCTTAGAAAGAGTAGCATCTAACATTGGTTAGTGGGCTGATATGATGAGCAATCTAGGAAAGAAGACTCGAGGAGTACTTAAAGTTGATGCTTTGACCTCTATTAACGATCAATTAGCTTTAATGACTAATATTCTACAAACTCTAGCGTTGGGACAAAGTTCAATGACTAAAGCACTTGTCCAAGTTGACGCTCTAATGACTCAACCCGTACCTGAATCTTGTGTACATTGTGGAGAAGAACACACTTTTGATCAATATTGAAGTAATTCAACCTTAGGTTTATAAGTGGGAAATCAAGCTAATCAGGGCAGCTAGAAGAATAACCCCTCCTCAAACACAACTCAGAGTGGAGAAACCATCCAAACAACTCCTCAAACACAACCGAGAGTGGAGAAACCATCCAAATTTCTCGTAAAAGAGACCAAATTCATAATCAACAAATGCCACCTAGTGAAAGTTACCCTCAATGAAAGTTACCCTCAAGTCCAGAGGAAACAACAGATCCAAGAAACTGTGGAGTCCCAAATTAACCTTTTTCAAATCCAAAACCCATAGTCAACCGTTTTCTCCAAATTTAAAACAAGTTTCAAGAGTTTTGAAGGGGCAGCTTTGAAGCTCTGGACAAACAAATGTTCTAAACACTTCTTTATTTGTTTTATATGCAAATAAACTTGGTGTATATCATGGAAATCTTTGAAACCATAATTCCATCCAAGTTTACAAACCTAATTAAGCCCATCCCAACCCTGCCTGCCTCCTATGAATCAGTAGTAAATAGGTAATATATAAACGAAGTTCTAAATCCCATTTTCTGGTGCTTACAAATGTGCAAACTCTTCCAATGGAAGTGTGAGTTCAGTTGTAACCACAAGAAAACATAAGTACATAGGAAGCCCCATCTTTGCAGGCCATAACCACCCATTTCAAAACCCTACTACTCTCATCAAACTTACTAATGCTGAACTACAACCACCTCGTCGAAGTTCCAGTCCCGTACCAGGTCCCTTCTTACTGCTCGGCTCCGCACCAGCGTTGGGTTACCATCCATTCTGTCACTGATCACAATGTTTGGATGGGGAGTTACCTTGGCTGATGCTGCATATGATGGGTGGTGTGTTGGAGGGAAAGATGGTCTCCAAATTAGACAGTTAGCCATCGAGTTACATCTTCCCTCGTTGTCTGAACTCGAAACTGAATAGCTCCGAAAAGAGTGTGAAGGGCTCTCTACACTATTGCATACAAGACATGCCAGGCTCATATTTATATACCTCCACCAATCTCCTACTCTCAAGTTCCCAGCTGCAATTCATTGTCAAAGGAACAAAATAGAGAGTCAGATCTTTGAAAAATTTACCTATAGCGCCCCCGAGCAGGAAAGGAGTAGAAAAAGGTACACAGCAGACAACACTGGAACCAATCTAACAGTTACATACAACCACGAAGCAAATCGTAAACGAAGCTCGTCATTGTTCCATACATACAAGAAGATTGTGTGATAAACAGAACAAGTTGTGTCGATATATCTTATATATTAGAACTCAACTCCCTTGATGACTTTCCTCAAAAGTGAGCATAACCCATTGACCTCCTGGTTGATCTAGGAGTCCGTTAACATTATTATGATCAACGGCAACATGCCCACAATCAGAATATAAGAAATAAATAATTGTCAATATGAGAATTGAACTGTCCATATATTCTTCTCTCAATCAGTTTGGATCAGATATGATGGATATTTTCAGTTCCAATCAGTTTTTGTTAGGCAGTCACTTTAATCATTCCAAAAAGCCAATTTTGATATTGGTTTTAAATTTTCCTTAAACCAGTAGGTTGGTTTAGCATTTGTTTAGGCCAAAAAGCAAGCCAAATCTACCCACCCACACCCACTTTATATGTCCCACATTGGTTGGGGAGGTGAACAAAACACTCATAAAGGGTGTGAAAACCTTCTCCTAGCAGACGCATTTTAAAATCCTGAAGGGAAACCTAAAAGGGAAAGCCCAAAGAGGACAATATTTGCTAGCGGTGGATCTGGGCCGTTAAATATATCCTTGCACATAAATACCTAGAAGCTACCTCAATCCACAAAAAGGTCCAATATTTGTAAATGTAACTGGTATTTGATAAAACAGAACAGATCAGAAAAGTATATTGCAAATCGAAGATCAGTAGTATAGGCCAACATCACATGCCTCAAAATTTTCAAACATGGAGATGAAGAAGAGATGATGAAAATAACAAGAATTAAATTATTAATGACATTCCATGACTGCTGGAGATCATCTTATTAGATCTGTTAGTTTAATTGAAGAGAATTTATTTCTTAACATAATTCTATAGTTCAGTAAACAAATATATTTAAACATGATTACAACTTTGAATTTTTAGATTAAACTGATTTGAAATAAGACCAGTTCAAAGCATTACTTCAATTATATGTCATCAGCAATGATGTAAAGTTTTAGTCATGGTCATTTAACTAAACTTTAGTCTTTAATCTTCGCATCAAAATCTACTTTAGTCATTGTCATTTAATTAAAATTTGCTGCATGACATCAATTGTTCAAGTAAATACATGCATGCCTGTGAAACATTTACCACTATCCATTGTAAGCGTCCATTGATCAAGCAAACTGACAGAAATGTGTCTACCACTTCTACATTATGTTGTGTTTTTCTTTTTTTTCGAGTTCAACAACATGAACGGTAAGAATTTAAACCTCTAATCTCTTGGTTAAGGATATAATACTTTAAGAAGTTAAGTTATGTTGAGATTAGTTACTTGGGTTGATATTAAATAATTTATATAGAAAGAAAAGAAACACAAAGCCGCTATTTGAAAGGACTAAAATAGAATAAGTATCAGAGTTCGGAGCAGAATAGAATCGCAAGGGGCAGAAAAGCGTGTAATTATGAGTATCGTAACCAATCATCAACTGAAATCATACATATCAGAAGAATCACATTGATAAAATCTAATCAATAACAAAACCAAGGGCTACAAAATCACGATTAAAACAAAGAAAAAAAAAAACCACAAAAATTTCCTAAACTTCAAATCAACGGGCTAAAACAGAAATGCTTCACTAAGAAATGGAGGAAGAAAGAAAAATCACCATCAAACAACATCCAACCTCATCAATCACAACCTAAAAAAAAGAAAAAGAGAAGGCAATCTCACAATTAGATTCAGCAGAGATGAATGATAAAAGAAACAGAGGTGAATTGAATCAGAAAACAAAGAACATCAAATCCGGGTAGAAACTTGGGAATTAGACAAAATCAGAATAAGGAAAAAGGAGGAAAGATGTGAGAAACAAACCTGTAATTGTTCTCCTCAAGATTCGGGAAAAGCAGAAGGGAGAGCGGGATGTGTGATGAAGTGAGACCCTGAGAGTAGACTTTATTATTGAGTGTTTAATACGCAGAAGCTGAAAGAAAGGAACGATAGAGGAGAGAGAATCAAGATTGTTCTTCTTCGATTATTTTCCTTTTTCGAAAAAATTATTAATAATTGTGCTTTGTAATGCTTTTGTATTGTGCTCCAACCATTATTCTTTTTTCAGATAATACAAAATGGTCAGCCATAAATTGAGAAGTTTCTCCAGTCGATTTAATATTGAATATTGGTGGTGGGGTGTTTGTGGATTGGCTTGGGTCGGTCTTGGGTCTAGTTCATACATTTTTTAAATAATAAAAAAAATACTAATGAAATTACATAAATATAATATATTTTTAAAAGTAACACTAAATTCAGGTTGGTTCCATTCATTCTACTCTAATCGGAAGGAAATCCATCCGCCAACCCAATCTATAAATATTTTATTTATTTGAATGTAACCTAACCTAAATAAATTAATAATTCAATTCAAAATGAAGTGGATTGGGTAAAGTTGATAGAGGCTTAATGTAACCTTAGTTAAAAAAAATATTTATTAGTCGTCGTAAGCCCTGAGAATTCTGGTGAGGCGCCGGGGTTCTCAGGCAATGCTCTGAAGAAGCGCACGCACGCCCACAACTCACTGGACAACGTAATCCTTCAACCATACTCCCCATCGAGTCGCCTGCAGCTCACACCCGAGGCCCAAATCCGTTAGCACCGCAACCCAGATTATTTAGTTCAGAACGCACGCATCTTCGATCTCGACCCGTCAACTCTCCAATCTAAACTACCTACTCGACTCACCTGCAACAACCTAACGCTCGAGGCCCAATACCCTTGCTAGCTAAGACCTACAACAGCCACGACCCGCACTTCGATGCGGCTCGGGTTGCACACTGATCAGTGCCCCCACTGTGCCATGTGTCACCCTGCGGAAAAAGAACTCCTTTCGCTTACACGGCTCAGTGCGGCTCGGGCTGCACACTGATCAGTGCCCCCACTGTGCCGATCTTTTGTTGACCCTAATTAAGGTAATTAAGGTCAATACAACGCTCTATTTCACAATTTTAGGTTGAGTTTATATTTGAATTGTGAAATACTAATGAAAGGCAATGAACGACCTAATAGGAATTGATCCCTGACGACGTTTGTTGTAGCTTCAAGGAACGAAAGCTTAGCAAAACTCGAATTTAGGGAAATGCCGGCTAAGGTTAAACAAGTAAGTGGTCTTACTATAGGATAGGCCAGACAATTGTTTGATGTGTGACGATACATGCCTAGTGGCTCCCGCACATGTCGTCTATGCTTTATGTTTATGATGCCTTGATGATGATTTATGATGTACGATGCATGATGTATGATGACATGTATGAGTTATATGATGACACTTTATGATATTTACGATGATTATGATGTGTTTATGATGTTACTTGATGAAAACTGTGCATGCTAACATGATGATGTAAGATAATGTTACTTCCTTGACATGACGTTATTTTCCATATTAAGTTGAGAAGTATGCTGTAAATGTCGTACTACATTATGACGATAATTTTCCTAGGACAGAACCCTAGTTAATATTAATGATGATGATAATATGAAGATTAATGCTCATATATTACTGATAGGGTTGTGTCATAAATATGTTTAAAAAATGAGGAACCATGGGAAACTCATGCATTTCAGTGTGTACATAACATTGGGATACTTCTCCTTTTACAATGATGAGTACGGACATGTATGCTACAATGATGATGGTTATCATGCTGCACATGACACTCAGGGGTCTGTTGATCTCTAGACGTCATTACGGACAACTAGCTCGACTATGATGGGTCTAGGGGGTGCGAACTACCTGGAGATTCACACTCGCACGTGTGGGTCGTGTGTAGGAAAGTACTGCACATCCAATTTAGTCCGGACTGGAGGCCACCCCTAGGATGATTTTAACGATAGGTCCCTAAAACATGAATTTCATGTATTTGCATTTTCATGGCCCCTATAGCAGGGTCACTTACTGAGTATTCTTCGAAATACTTGGGTTGTGTACTATTTTCAAGTAAAGGCAAGGCGCCCCTGTACCGCTTATGCTTTTCATGTTTTTGAATTATTTATTATTATCGTTTTAATTTTGTTTTTGAATTATGTTTTTGAACATGTAAGACCATGTCAGTGTTTTCAACGATGACGTTATGCTTATGTTGACATTATGATTTTCAAGATGATGTTTTAAGAGTTAATTTCCACATAATAGCTTAGGTTAAGATGATGGTAGCGACTTTAGATAGTAGAAATCTAGTGTCGTTATAGTTGGTCTTAGAGCTCTAGGTTACAGATTATTTAGACTAGCCTATGAGGTAGGCTTGACACATTATATGGTCCCACCATTGATGCCTCATCACTGACAAATATGTCCTCCATAAGATAACAAAAAAAAAAAAAAAAAAAAAAAAC